GGCTGGGGGCCGGGGAGGTGCAGAACAGAATTCTCATTTAGTCTGTTTGTGGCAATATTTGCAGTCACTTTAGGGTGTAGGAAATTCGTTGCTTTTAGCATGTGAGAAGCCATAGTTAAAGTACTAACCGTTTTCCAATTGTCCGCCTGCTGCATTTGTTCGTGAGACGGTAATTGGTCCGTGGCAGGAGGTCTCCTCATTCAGGAAGAGAATCCGGAGGGGATGAGCTGGTCACCATCCATTTCTCCGAGGATTCATGCTTGAGTTGTAAGTCATGTTTCAGAATTTAAAGGGAGCAGGAGAGAGCTTATGGTCAAGCCGTCGGTGTTGGAAAATGCAGGACTCACATCTTCCCACAACCAGGTCAAAATGACACCTGGACACAGAACCACTCTCATTCAGAACCACCTGGATTCTAGCTGAATAGGGATTTAAAGAAGAAGCCACATAGAGACTGGTAGGAGGGGCCGATACGCTGAAAGGGCTGGTCCCACGCCCACGTGTGGCAAATAAAAATCAGGAGGGAGCCCAGCCGGCGTGGCTTAGTGGTTGAGCATTGACCTATTGACCAGGAGGTCATGGTTCGATTCCTGGTCAAGGCACATGCCCAGGTTGCGGGCTCGATCCCCAGTGTGGGGCGTGCAGGAGGCAGCCGATCAATGATTCTCTCCTCATTGATGTTTCTCTCTCTTTCTCTCCCTCTCCCTTCCTCTCTGAAATTAGTAAAAATATAGTTTTAAAAAAATCAGGAGGATATCTTGGCTGTGGAGGTGTCCCCCCGACCCCCAGGCCCCCCAGCCCAGGGTCCCAGTGCCAGGAAGAAAATTCCCCATAAATTCTGGCTGTAAAAAAACAGCAAGGATGTGGCTGAGTGACATGGAGGCTGCTGGAGTCCCAGGTAGTTCCTCTTAAAGGGCCCAGGCACGGACTTACTCAGATTCACTCCCTCGGAGCTCCAGCACTGGGGCAGCAGCTGGACAGCACCAGGGCCATTCAGGGAGGAACTGAATGGATTAAGTGCTCCAATCAAAGGACATACAGTAGCTGAATAGGTAACTACAAGAGACTGACTTCAGAGCCAAAGACGCGTACAGACTGAAGGCAAGGGGCGGACAAAGAAGTTTCATAAAAATGAAAACAAACCAAAAGCTGGGGTAGTGATGCTTATACCAGACAAAATAGACATGAGAACAAAGTTGGCAGAAAGAGCTCAGCAAACATTGGCTGAATACACTGGGCTCTCTCTTTTGACCCCGCCCCACCAGCCCACGTGGCTACTAGCAAATGCCAGGAGGCAGCCAGCTCGGCCACCCGCCCATCCCCATCCCTGGTCATTGGGGGAAATAAGAGTCCAGGTTCCATCCCCTGAGCAGAATCTCTTTTATTAAAAAGATGATCTGTCATCACCCAGTTCCCTGGAACAGGAATGCCCTCACTTATCGTGGGAGCTTACAAAGAGGTGGGAGGCACCGGGACCTTCCTGGGACCGTGACCTCGCTCTGGTGACGAAGCACCTTGGTAAGAGAATCGGCACAGGGTTGTCCTTCATGCCAGCCACCCCCTCACCCCTTTAAAGCGGAAAGGCTGGGCCATGAAATGAGTCCTGTGGCTGCTAGTCCCAGGCCCCTTGCCCTGCGGTGGTTCCCATCCCGCGGCAGGGCTGGCCCAGGGAGGGCTCTCTGCCCGGGGAGTGGGCTGCCGACGGGGACGCTGGGCTCAGCTTCTGGCCCCGCACAGGCCCCGCCGAGCGGAAGCTGGGGTCGGCAGCTGCGCTGGGAAGATCGTCTCTAGTTCTGTGCCGACTCCAGTTGGTTGAGTCGCTTGAAGATCATGCTGTTGAGTTTCTTGAGCTCGTCTATGTCCCTCCCCTCAGCCGCCAGTCTTCTCGACACGTTGTCCATCTTGCTTCCAGTCTGAACTTCAAGATGGAAAACAGAATGTTACATGGGAGTCAGGGCCCCGCGTTGGCGCTCGGCTGAGCCCTGATCAGCCCTCTAGGCCAGTGGTCCGCAAACCACGGCTCGCGAGCCACATGCGGCTCTTTGGCCCCTTGAGTGTGGCTCTTCCACAAAATACCGACTTCTGCGCATGGGCCACGAAGTTTCAATCGCACTGTACATGCGCGCCCGCACGTGGTATTTTGTGGAAGAGCCAATTAAACCACCAGCTACGAAGTAAGTGTGAGTAAGCGCGCACCAGCAGTGAAGTGGGGGGAGTACTTACTGATGAGGAAGGTCACCAAGGCGACCAGCACCAGGCTGACAATCAGCGCGAGGACCAGCCCCAGGAAGAGCAGCCGGGAGCGCCCATCGCCCGAGCGAGTGCCGGCCTCCAGGGTTTTCTCCTCCGGCGCTAACACAGAACAACACCGTCACAGACCCCTCCCCCCCCCCCCCACACACACACACGGCCGGTCAGCGGGACTGGGCATCCCACCATCGGGGACCTAATCACTCTGCGGAGGTGTAGCCGGACTGTCACTGGGCCCCGGCTGCTGTCACCACTTGAGCCAATTAAGCAGATACGGGTTGGCTTCCTTCCATCCCTCCTCGGTCACCCCAACAGCCTTGCTTCCTAATCAAAGCAGCAGCACCTCCTTTTCCCAGGACTGGCTTCGGTTAGAACAGGTGAAAACTCTGAATGCTTTACAGTAGAGAAAAGCGAGATCTGGAAGGAGCCTGGAGCAGCTGTAAATTGGCGCGGTGAGAGTTTAGAGTTTAGAGTCCACATGAGGCAAATGCCACGCGGCTGGGGGGGGGGGTCGGCAGGTACGTGGGACCAGGTGAGGCCCAGCTCACCTGCAGGGGCCTTACGATGCACGGGGACGAGACACGCCCTCGGTGGTCAGCAGATTGCTTTGCTTTGCTTTCTCTCCCCCGCCTTTCATTCTAGCCCTTTAATTGGGGTCATTTGTCATTTGTCAGGAGAAAATGATGTTGACCTTTTTGCCCAACAAAGTTTTACTGTTTTTAAAAACTAGATGGACGTGTGGGACATTTTCTCAGCCGTTCACCATGAAGGGAGACGTGTCTGGGGAAGGGGGCGCCCCGGGGACCTGCCCGTGGTCACCTCCTGGCCCAGCAGGGGCTTCTCAGACAAGAGCTCTCACTCAGAAGCCACGAAAGCCCATCGCCCGCCTCCGCTGCCGCGGGCTTTCAGGGCAAAAGCAAGTGTGGCCCAGTAGTCAGTGCATCTCTGAAGCAAGCGTTTGAGGCCTCCCGCCCCCCCCTCCCATCCCCCCAGCCCAGGTGAGCAGCTGCT